CCCCCCCCCCCCCCCCCCAAAAAAGGAAGCAAACACAAAAAAGCCAGACTGTCCTCTAGATATCAACTCTGGTGGATCGGCATGACCTTCCGCCTCGTTGCCCTCGCCGTACTGTGCGCGTCCCTGGCCGCAGCACAGTTCGAGCCGAACTGGAAAGGCCTCGACGCCAGCCGCAGCGGCTTTGAGCTGCTGACCAACGCATCAGTGGGCAAGATATTCGCTCAGGAGGAGGCAGAGCTGGTCGTGAGCGGCCTCGGCTACCCTGAGGGGCCCGTGTGGCACGAGCCGTCCAAGTCGCTGCTCTTCGTTGACCCTGGTGTGTATCACGTGCTTACGACGAAGCTGCCTGGCTGCGTGTGTGTGTGTGTGTGTGTGGAGGGCGATGTCTGTTCTGTCCTGTGTGTCAGGGCTGAACTCTATTTTGCAGTACACGCCTTCCACCAACACCACCGTGGCCCTCATCTCCAACGCGGCCGAGGGCGCCAACGGCATGGCCGTCGACCCCCTGGACCCCAACATTGTCCACATCTGTCTGCAGAAGGGCCGCCGGCTCGTAAAGGCCCACCTCAACACGTCCTTCACTGCAGACAACAAGTACGGCGACGACCTGGTCGAGGAGGCGACCGAGTACAACGGCACGCGACTCAACTCGCCCAACGACGCGGCCGTCTTCAGCGGTCAGGGGGAGGGCGCGCGGAAGCTCAACTCGACTGTCTTGTATGAGATATTCTTCACCGACCCGCCATACGGCTGGCTCAACGGGCTGGAGAGCGAGCCGACGCTGGACAAGTTCTCCGAGCTGGGCTACCACGGCGTGTACCGGCTGTGTGTGACCGAGGAGGGGGAGGAAAACCATCTGGAGCTCCTCACGCCGGCCCTCAAGCGGCCGAATGGCATCGCCATCTCCCACGACGGCCGCACTCTGTACGTCATCGACTCGCGCGCAGAGGGCGACGGCCCCGGCACGCGGCTGTACCAATTCCCCATTGCAGACAACGGCACTGTCAGCGCCCCTCAGTCGCTGGACGACGTGACCGACGCGGACCTCGTCATCTCCGACGCCGACTACGCCAAGTACGTTGCGGTCAACTACGACACGGAGAAGGACCCCGGCGTGTTTGGTCACGTTATCGACGGCATGGTGGCGGCCCCCTCTGGCATGATCTTCGCGGGAGGGCCTGGCGGGCTGTACGTCATCGACCCCGCTGCTCGAGAGGTGGTGGGTCTGATGCGGCTCGGGGGGTCATCGCACGCCGTCAATGTGGGCCTTGGGATGGAGGGGGAGGGGCGCGGCTACCTGTTCGCCACGACGCCCAACCACATCTGGCGTATCAAGCTCGACGACGGCATGATGACGCCCAAGGGCGGAGACACCACGGAGGAAGAGGCAATGCTCCGGCAGTGAGTGGGTGAGTGGTGCCGTCGACCTGTGTGGGCACATGGCGGGTGAGGGGGGGTGGGTTGGTGGATGATGAGGCTTGTCGGACTTGTGTGTGTCTGTGTCTTTGTGGTGGAGCGAATTGTGTTTCGCATGCGACGCACGCCATTTTGCGCGTCAAGTGTCTCTCTATCACACGATGTGCTCTGACTTGTCTCTCGGTCTGTCTGTCTGTCGAATGTGTGTTGAAGTTTGGGCCGGCCAGTGCGGACCGCTCCGTGCCGACGAGTAATAGATGTCTCGTGGTGGAATGCTCGGGACGGGACGAACACAGATCTGGATATGTGACCATCTCACCGGCTCTCAGTCACACACGCATACAGTCACGCCCACGTCAGTCCCGACGAAAAAACTGTCTCTCTCCCCTCTGACTTAGATAGAGCCCAGACGGCTCACTGGCTCCCCCGCTCACAACTGCATAGACCATAAGGAAGGCACTGACGTGTGGACTGCCCGCGATACAGCGGCCCATCAAGCATTCACCCAGCAGAAGCCACGGCGCATCTGGAACCGACACTCGGCATGACGGGCGCATCAGGAATGAGGCAAAGCAAGGCAAGAAGGCATCTATGAGGTCTCGATACAACAAAATCTGCGTCGTCGCAGGCGAGCCCCCTTCATCCATCCATCCATCCATTTGAGAGCATGTAGGTAGGCGTCTGCAGGCCATGCAGACGCAGGGAGGCAAGCAAGGAAACCGCCCGCATGAAGGCGCCATAGATAGATGTGTGTGTGAGAAGAGGCAGGCAACACTGCGCCCGGCCGTTGACGCTTTGACTGACGTGCATGGCTCACCACAACATCGAGCAACGCAGTATGGAACCTGAAAAGTCCCGGATCTCATACGTCCTTGCCCTTTGCTGAGATAGCCGTGCTGGTCGGTCGATATGCGCACCAGGCCAGGCGGCATTTCCCGTGATAAAACAAGCCAAGCCAAGCCAAACAAGGTCACCCTTACTGGCGTAAACCAACAGCTCACAAAGAGAGAGAAGGGGGCGTGTGTGTGTGTGTGTGTGTGTGTAGGTGTGTGATGCATCGTGTGTCGGTAGGTAGGGCGTGTATGCCTCAGGCGGCGGGTGGACATGGTGAATTACGTAGGCAACCGGTGTGGTGGGTCGGTGAGTCAGTCAGTCAGGCAAAAGGAGATAAAGACCGGCTGCAAGAGCCCTCCGCGGATGAAATGGGTGGATAAAGCCGACACGCACGTAGCAATAAGCCAAGCGACCCGACCCCACCCCACAGACAGACAGAACAAACTCAACACACCGCAGTTGTTCGCTCGTCTGCGCCCCTCTCTCTGAGCAGAGAACCGCACCATCATACCGCATGATGCACCGCACAAACAAACATACACCTGGCCACCACACAGACACAGAGGGGAGATGTAGGCAGGCGGCAGGCGGGCAGCAGGGCAGCCAACGCACGAGGCGAGCGAGATGCCCCTTACATAGATAATACACACAGGCCTGCTCCCTCCCTCCCTCCCTCCCTCCCTCCAGAAGCTGGACTGGTCTCTCTGTGCAAGCCATGCACCAACCAATCGTCCGTCTATCGCAGCTGCCACGTGACGTGACCCCACCAGCTCTCCCCCACACACCCCACCCAAGCACCACCTACCAATCTACCAATACATTGAATCATGAGTCATGAAGGAGCAAGCAAGAAACACAACACCATGGCATGGATACTCACGATCAATTGCCGACTCAAGCAAACACCAGTCACCAATCGCCAACCCCC